GTAGACATGCCCCAGGAGTCCTGCTTCCCAGAGTAGAACCCACGGATCCGGAACCTCCCGGCTATTCCCACCGCCTTGAAGGCTTTGGTCCTAGGCAGTGGGGCTTGGCTTTTAGGTTCAGGCCTGAGCCCCAGCAGGAGCCAATGTACGAGCTCCAGCAAGCCCAGCCTGGCAGCCCCATTAAAAGGAGTCGTGACCCACTTTGTGGTCCTGACCCACAATTTGAGAAACGCTGCCCTTGAGCAGCCCTAGGGCTGTTGAGCTTAGTGGATGCAGTAGGGGGCACTAAAAGCCCCATGTCTCTGCTGGGGTATTTTACAGACACCCTTGGCAGAGGGGGGCTGGATTCCAGCGTGGCCAGCCCCAGACAGAGGTTCACTGTGCTGTGGTTGTCATAAGCGACGTTGCTTCCAGGGTCTTTAAATTCTGTGGCCTGGGGGGGCAAGGTGGGCACCAGAGGATGGTGCCCCGGGCTAAATGCCCCCACCAGTAGAGCAGATGAGCCAGGGGAACTGACAGAACAATGCCCCATTGTCTCAAATCTGTCTGTCTGGCACAGACCTTGAGAGCCCAGCAGCAGGTCTGAGGCTGCGTGGAGGTCTGAGACCCAACCCCCACACCTCAGATCCCCCCCTTCTGCCACCGCCGGATTTCACACCTGCTGCTCCCCAGCTTGACAGTTTCCGTCACTCTCCTGCCCAGAAAGCCACCACAGGATGCCTGGGCTAGCACTGAGCAGCTACTGTCATGGGCCCTGGAGTGTGGAGTCCCTGCCTCCTGCTGCTGTGGGGCTGGAGCTGGGGCTGTGCCCTCCCAGCTGGCTCCATCCTGCCCCCGGGACTCAGCAAGGTAAGGGATGGAGGGTGAACCCAGAGGGAGCAATTTTTTGGGGGGAAGGGCCCTGAAAGCCAGAGTGTCTGTACGGAGTGCCACTGGCTTCTGTGCTCCAGCAATCTTGGTGCTTGTTTTGATACTCCAGAGATGGGTGATGGGCATGGAGAGGGGCAAATCCAGGAGCCATTCCCACTGCAGGACAGCCTATCCCTCATGCGCCAGCCACTGCACACTCCTCTATGCTCCATGTGCCTCTCTGAGCCCAAGCGGCACATAGGCATCAACACTCTCCCCATCCACCCCTCTGTTCCCACAGACATCAGAGGGCTCCACCTCACACCCCGAAGTAGGGATAGCTGGTGGTGGTGGGAGGCTGAGGGGCATGAGCAGAGCTGGGTGGGGGTGCACAGCCCAGGGCTTGGCTCACAGGGGGCTGTGGTTCAGGACTGAGGGGTGCTGACAGAGGTGTAGGATAGGGACCCAGGACTGGGCTTCCAGGGGGCTGGGGTGGAGATTGGGAGCATCAGCAGAGCTTGCGGGGCAGGACTGAGCATGGGGAATGGGGCAGGAGCACTGGCTGCTTGGATACCCCTTCAATTCCACCCGCTGGTTTGTCCATTTCAGGCTGAAGTGACCCGAATGTTCAAGGATTTTATGATTCAATTCAACAGAACTTACAGGAGCCCTGCAGGTGATGGATGGGGGATGGGGGACTCTTCCTGGAGGGGCTTACGCGGGTAGCAGGGGGAAAAGGGGCCGTGGCCAGGATGACAGACCAGCTTGATTCGCCTCACCACATCTCTGAGCCAGGCTTTCCCCGGGGCTCTGCATGCGCTGGGCCTCAATAGAGGTGGGGTTGGAGTCCTTCGCTGTTGTCTCACCCTTTCCATCAGGCTGGTGTCATACCCACCCCTCTGCGGCTCTCGCTAGCAGTGGAAAGAGACACTTGAAAGTGGAAACTTCTGGCCCTGATGGTAGGTCTGGGGGGCAGGATATCTAGTGCTACCAGCTGGGGGTCTCCTGCACCCCAGAGCCCATGATCCTCCTCCCCCTCCAGAACAGCAGAGACGCTTCGGGATCTTCATTCAGAGTCTTGTCACGGCACAGCAGCTGCAGGAGACGGAGCTGGGCACGGGGCAGTATGGAGTGACCCGCTTTAGCGACTGGACAGGTGGGACCCCAGTCCCCCTGCATCCCTCAGCCCTGCAGCTGTGCACCCCTTCCCACTCCTACAGCTCAGCACCTGTCCTGTGACCCCCCTTTTCTGTCCACACCACTCAGTACCCCTCACCATGCTGCACCCATTTCTGCCTCCACATCTCTTCACCCTTTCTAGTGCTACCACCCCTTCCACACCCACACCTCTCTACATCCCCTTCCCCAAATGTACTGCTCTGCACTGCTCCCTTCCCCTCCCCACCACTCTACATCCCTTTTCCTGGCCCCACTGCTTTGCACCCTCCCTCCTCCTGGCCTTCACCATTTTGCATCCCTCACATATCTCCCTCCCTGCTGCTCCCCCATGTCTCTGCACCCTCTTCCTCTACCTCCCACCTCTTTGCACCCATCCTTCCCCTTCCAGCACCCCTCAGTGCCATCTCCCTCTGTCCCCCCAGATGAGGAGTTCCGTGGCGTATTTCAAAGCCACCCACCCCCCAGCATGGCCCAGGCTCCCCGGCTCCCGAGGGGGAAGCTGCCCACATCCTGCGATTGGAGGAAGGCCGGGGCTGTGACTGCTGTGAGGAACCAGGTAGTTGCAGGGAGGGAGCCCACAGATTAGCAGTTAAATGGAGTAGTTCAGGGGTGGCTCAGTAATAAGAACCCCCCCATTGCTAACCCCAGTCAGCACCTCTCTGCCTCAGCTGGGGCACTGGGATCAGTGCTGAGGCCAGGAAGAGCTCCCCCTTGAGCCCCACAGCACAGCACAGCACCCCATAGCGCCATGCTGGGCTTCTCCTCTTCTCTCTCTGCAGGGAATGGAGTGTCACTCATGCTGGGCATTTGCTGCCGTCTCCAACATCGAGTCCCTCTGGAACATCCACTTCCACCAGCCCCGGAACCTCTCGGTGCAAGGTAGGGACGTGGGGGTGGGGCGCCCCCTTGACTGGAACTGGATGGGACACCCCAGCCAGCGCTGCCCTGCTGTGCACAGCCCCCAACAGGCTGTGGTGAATGGGGCGCAGAGGAGGGGGTTTCTGGGGATGTTGGAAGATCCTTCCCAGCTCAGAATCCTGGTATGTGTGTGAGTGCGTGTAAAGAACTCTCTTCACTTGGGCTTGCCTAGAAACCTGGGGTACGTGGAGACCTGATGTGCGGACTCTATGGGGTTTCTTATATTTGCACCCTGTTTGTACTCAGTGGGGTAGGGGGACAGCCCCACCACAGACTTGCCTCTTGGTAGACTTGGAACCTCTCCCCCCACTGTATTATCAGCTGAGCCCTGCCTGAGGGACTCTCCTCCACCAGATGTTAAAGCCAGGGCTAGCAGGTGCCATGAGTCTTTCCATCCAAGTGTGGGACAATCAGCCCCACCAGGAGCCACAATGGGAACTTCCCCCTGCCAGGTGCTCACTGGGGTCTATCATGGTCAGTACCTGCTGCCCAGCAGGGGCAGGATTTCAGAGTGTGACGGGGATGAGTGGGAGCTGGCTTGGTGCTCACCCCCTGCTTCCTTTGCAGAGGTGTTGGACTGCAGCTGGTGTGGAGCAGGGTGCAATGGGGGCTACGTGTGGGACGCCTTCACCACGGTGCTCCGTTTACGTATGTAGGCACTGGAGGGACATGGGTCCTTTTCCCTGCAGACAGTAACACCGCCCGCAATGTTCTGGACCTTCCAGGACGTGCCCCTCTTCACCCCCACAACAATTTTATTGTGAGAATATTTTAGTGCATGGGGACTCACCCCAAACCAGACTAGGCCCCTTCTCATTACAGGTGCTGTACAGGCCCCTTGAGATTGGGGGCCCCTAGAATTGCACAGATCCTAGCCTAGTCAGCAGCTCCCATCATTGGATGCTGCATAGACCCTGGCCCACACTGAGTACAGTCTTCTCTGTATGGTACACAGACCCTTCCTCACTCCTGGACCCTGTTCTGGCTGTACTATATGACAGGATGCATGCAGGGGGGCTTCAGAACAGGGCAGTGCTGGAGCAGGGAATGAGGTGCTCCTGGCCCATTCCAGTCCTTTTACACGCATCCCCTCCTAGGAGGTCTGACGAGCGAGGCTGACTACCCCTACAAAGGGAAAACAGAGAAATGCAAGAAGAACGATAAGCCATCAGCTGCCTACATCCAGGGCTTCCAGACATTACCTGAAGATGAGGAGGGTGAGAGGGATTGGGGTGGAGCCAGCTGGGGAGACTGGACCATCCAGGGTGGAATGGTGGGCAAAGGAGCATGTGAGGGGCAGTGCAGCAGCATTTTGGGGACATAATGGGGAGTGTCAGGCAGAGCAGGGTCAGGGTGGAGGCTGTGTAAGACAGGGCCAGAACTGACAAAGACCCTGCTTAGTTTTCAGGCAGCTGTGCACTGGCAGGAAGGTGCATGGGGTGGTGTGTGTGAAATCAGCAAGGGGCTTATTAGTTCCATGCTTCCCCATTGGAGCAGCAGAGGAGGAAGGTGAAGGGTGCCCAGAGGACACAGGGTGGGACAAGGGCCAATGTAGCCAGCCTGTGGGTACAGCAGCAGCCTGGTAGGGCTGGGGTGTTTGTTCCTGGGGTCTCCTCCCCACCCAGTTCATTTGGGTTTCCTCTTCTAGAAATAGCTGCACATGTCGCATCTCAGGGTCCAATCACAGTTACCCTGAACTCGGCTGCCATGAAGGTATGTGCCCCCCAATTGCAGCAATGGGGGGAAGCCCTCTGGCTACGCACCCCATCCCAGTGACCTGCACACTAAGCTCCCCCTCCCCTGTCACTGACTCACTCCCTCCTCCCGTTTTTGTGCCTCTGCAGTATTATAAAAGGGGCATCTCCCAGCCCTTGGTGAAGAACTGCAGTCCTGACCAGCTGGATCATGTTGTTCTGCTAGTTGGCTACGGGGCTGGTGAGTAGCAAGGGGCACTGCAAGTGGTTGAATTTGGGTTAAATGAACTGGGGGTTGGCAGGAGACTCAGTTGTCAAAATCACCCTAACGCCTCTGTGCCTTTCTCTTCGCCAATTAACCGTAGTGAACGAAAGGCAGTTCTGGATCATCAAGAACTCCTGGGGGGATCACTGGGGAGAGCAGGTGAGTGTGGGGCTGCCCGCATGGTGCTGCTGTCTGTGGGTGTGTGGGCTGGTTTGATCCCACCTCTGGGTGGGATGCAGGGGCTGATTATACAGGCAGGCCCAACAATGTGGGGGCAGTTGTCCCAGGACCCAGAGTTTCAAAGGGGCTTGGTGCTCCTGGTTGCTGCCGTTGCCCCGATCTCCTTTGAATTGCCACAGGAGTACTGAAACATGGCTCCGAGGGCTGGGGGGGCCTACACTGCGGGCTAAGGGCTGACTGCCCTCAGCCCCACCACTCCCAGGCCTGCGGTGGCTGTCAGCTTTGCTGTATACAGGGATCCCCTGCCTAAGGCACAGCCACCACCGGGGTGAGGAGTGGGCTTTTATTGTACATGCCCCAGCCAGGTTCCGACCCTGGCCCAGTTAGGTGCCAGGGCTGAGTGTGGGTTTGTCTACACTTGCAGCACAGCTGTTTGCCACCTCCACCCGTGGGAGGGGTTCTCCTGTCATTGAAGTTCACTCCTCTCTGCTAGGCTCACAGAATTGTTCCATCCACCTAGGTCAGCACTGCTACCTCTCTTGGGGAGAGGGGGATTTTTACAGCCCTGAGACAGAGCTATGCCAATGTAAGTTCCCAGTGTACAGCAGCCCTGGGTGAGAAAAGGTCTCCAGTACCAACTGTCCCTAACCACGTGTCCACTCGGCAGGGCTATTACCGGCTCTATCGCGGCAGAAACGCCTGTGGAGTCAGCAAGTTCCCTGTAACAGCCATCGTGCAACGCTTAGGAGCCCCGGGAAGCAAGGTCCATTGTCCCTCTTGAAGGGGGTGCCGCTGCTGCAGAGAGGCTGTTGACTCCCCTGCAATGACCTCTGCCACCATCAAGACAGAAAAAAACTGGTTGGCACCATAGGCCTTCGCTGTGTGATGGGGAAATGAATTCAATACTCAGACCACTATAGCTCCACACCCACAGGTACCAGAGCTGAGTTCGGCCCTTCCAGCAGCACACATGCATGCACTGTCCCCGAGCCCAAACCCCTTCCCCTTTGCTGGAACAATGAATGGGGCCTGTGAAATATCCATTAAACTGCTTTTCTGTGCTTGGTGTGGCCCCTTTGGCTGGAGGGGGTTTGTTTAATAGTTTAGCTGCGTGTATCTCCCCCACACCCCATGCTGCGTACTCCTCACACCGCCACTCTTGGCAAAGCGACTGTGCTGGCTTTATTGGGACGCTACAATCACAGTTCTGGGGCTTTCCAGGTGCTGCCCCAAGGTTTGTGGGTGGGGGAGAATCTCCTGCCCACCTTCCTCACAGTATTTGATGCCAAACTGGGCACAAGTCCTTCCCCTATCTCCTCTGATGTAAAGACCTGGCCTGATCCCAGACAAAACAGCTGGGTCTGTGCTCCAGGCTGGGGGCAGCGAGGGCAGCCACAACCCCCCCTCCCCATGATCCCTACTCAGCAGTGTGCATCCTGGGGCGGTTGGTGGTTCAGCTCCAGCTCCAGCTCCAGCTCCAGGCTGGGGCCCAGTGAGCCACCTATGGGATCTACTGCAGCTCTGGTCTCTATCGCCCCCCAGAGGGGGTTCAGGCAACAGCCAGGCCCTCACTCACTGGCATGTTGATATGGGCAGTCAGCAAGGGTGTGCTCTGGCCCTCCCGCAACACAAACACCTGCAAGAGAGGAGACAGAGCGCCCAGGATGAGAAAGAAGCCACCTATGGGGAGGGGTGCAGGGACTCTTTATACACGGATTCCTCCTGGGGCACTGAAATGCAGCCACCTCTGGGTCCCACCCCCATCCACCAACACCAGGAGGGAGGATTTCAAAGGACCAGGCATCTCTCTGGGGTGGGCTGTCTCTGTACAAACCTTGATGACATCTGAGATCCCCTTGTCACTCAGACACTCCACAAAGGTTTCAATGGGGTAGTTCAGTCCTGGGACCAGCATGGGGGCCTGTAGGGAGACAAGGCCGAGTCAGCCAGAGGGCAGGGGCCTGTAGGGGTGGTCAGAGGTCAGGAGAGGGGGAATACCTTGAAGAAGGCTCTTTTCATGGCATAGAGGTTCTGGTCGTAGAGGAAGCTCACCAGCAGGTTGATGGAGGGGCACCCAACTGATGTATTCTGAATGTGGAGGGTCAGTTTGAAGGTGGGGCCGATGCCCTGGACCTGGAGGTGGAGGGGTAGATTCTGAGCACAGGTTCAGTGCAAGGAGGAGAGGAGTCCTTGATCCCAGAGCCAACCCAGCCCTTATGAGGGCCGGAGAGCCAGCTTGGGAATGGGGCGGGAGGGGAGGAAGCTCCACCACAGGAGCCATAAGAAGGGATCCCTGGAAATCTAAAGAGATGACAAAGCCAAATTCTGCTCCCACTGATCGGCGTTCAGCCCAGATCTGCTCAGAGAGCTAGAGACCCATCTCCCCCGGAGTTCCTCTCCCCCCTCCCATATTGCAAGGGCACATCTCGCCCTGTTTTAACACTGGCCAAATGTGTCTGATAATGGCTCCTGGCTCTTGCTCAGACTGCGACCCTCATGAACCACACAAATCCTCCCCCACATGCAGATGGGCAGGGAGACCAGGGCCAAGCTCCCTCAGGACCTTCTCTCAGAGCAACTCTTCCCCTCTGGCTGCCTGATGCCCAGCATTTCCAGTGGAGGGTTGTTCTCACAGCTCCTGTCTGACCCCCTCCCCGGGCGCAGTGTCCTTGAAAAGCAGCTGCCCCAGGTGCATGTAGCACCCTGCAAAGGCCTCGTCGGCACTTCCTGCTGCGCTCTCAGCAACGGTGGCTCTCCCAACAGTGACCCTGCCAAAGCAGGCAGCTCAGTCCAGTGGCTATACCTTGAACTTCAAACTAGAGCCCGGCAGCGGCAGTGGGCTCCCGAGGGGCCTGCTGCCATAATTAGCAGGAGGGGGAGAAAAATTCAAAAAATAATGTGGGAACAGAATGAAAGAAAATAGCCCTCCCACCCCGCAGACGAGACGCCCCAGCCAGCAGCAGCACAGAACAAAGGGTGGCAATGGGAACTTTCCCTCCCCGCGCTTGTGGGTGGCTTCCTGTCCCCTTGGCACGATGAGGAAGGGGCTCTCCAGCCACTTGCATGGAGGCTGCGAGGTTTCTAATCCCTTTGCCTGGGAAGGGGAGATGCAGGGGCTGCTCATCCCCTTGTAGGGATGTGGATTCTAATCCCTCTAAGTCAGGGGCTCCCTCCTTTTTGATACCTACCGGGGACCGGCAAACCCAGTCACAAACTTTTCGTGGACTGGTAACATTTTATTTGTATATTCATTATGCAAATGATGAATATGCAAATACATTACTGGACCGCCAAAAGCTGAGCCCCCAGTGCCAACCCTAACTCTTAGAGCTCTGTGCCCTTCCACTACACCCTAGTGCCAGCCACTGACCCCAGAGTCCCCTGCACCTAATTCTCCATGCAAGCCTTCCACCCTCAGAGCCCCCCCGTGCCAGCCCCCCATCCCAAACATCTCAGTGCCAGCCCTCTGCCCCTTAGAGCCCCCGACCAGACC